GACGTTCTTGGAGGTCTCAGGTTCGCTGAGCCTGACTCATTTCACGTGCTTGGGAAAGCATGAAGCGAAGCGGAAATGCTGGGAGGTGCAAGATTGCTAGAAGCAGTGTACCTCAATGTTCTGTGTCCTCTAGCTCAGATCCCAGTTGTTGCACTGGGCATCGGTTGTCACTATTAGTAGGTGAATTGTTATTGCATCCATATGTCTACTTTTTTTCTCTTTCCTGCTTCATGTGGGAGAATTGCGGATCTGCTCAACTATGGAATGTTGTGATTCGCCGTGGACTGGGAACTCAGCTGCTCCGACATACTAAAGGGAAAACAGATTATAGCAATACTTATGCAACAAGGCAGTAATTCGTTGACTAGCCTTAGCGTTGACACAAAGCTTAAAATAAAGAACAAAATGGGACAGGCGTCACAACTTCTACATCCTCGTCCCCTTAACGGCGGGCTACTTTATGGAGCCTGCCAATCTCAGCATTCACCTCAGCCGCTGAACGCTTCTTTGACTGGCCTACAGCACGTTGAACTTGGAATTCTTCTCTGAGTAACTCACGAGTCAAAATCTGCGAGCGCTGAGCTGCAAACCTAGTGGGCCTTGCCCCGGAGCTCTCTTCACTAACCTTACAACGCTTCAGGTTACCAGCATAATGGGTCTCGAGTCCACGCTCCGTACTCAAAGTAGCACTTCGACCAAGCAACGAAACTATAAAATAAGGACCACGCCAACAGGAATCCAGCTTAGATGGCCTGTTGGTGTACACATAAACCTGTTGTCCAACCTTTAATGAGTGATCCACCTTCATCACCGGATTGACCTTTTCACGCATGTCCAACCAAGTGTTGAATAACTGCGCCACCACAATACGATACTGCGGCCCGATCTCTCCAGCCAGTTGAAGTAGATCAGCAACTGTCCTAGCAGGACCAACGGGCTCATCCTCTTTCTCCGTAGGCTCAGGAGCTCTCATGCAAGGCAATGTAATTACCTTGCCAAACATAGCAAGCTGAGGACATATACCAGAAGAGCCAATCTCACTATGGTTAATAACCCATCGAGCATATGCAAGGGCGACCGGATCATGCCAAAGATCCCCAGATGCCAGAGTCCACCTTCGTAAGACATCTACAAC